AGAACTGTGTGGTGTTGCGAGGATACTGAAGAAGTTTCAAAGTAAGTTGTGGGGGCAACACTTTGAATTGCAGGTTGATGCCAAGTCCTTGGTGGAGATGATCAACAGGCCTACTTTACCAAATGCACCCATGACACGCTGGGTTGCTTTTATTCAACTGTTTTCATTTGACATTGTTCACAAGCCTGGGAAAAGTTTTGGTATGCCAGACGAGCTGTCCAGAAGACCTGTTGGCGAAGATTCTGATTCTGAAGGGGAGGATTTTGATGATGAGAAGAAGGATATTGGGACTCATGAAGGGTTTGATGTAGCAATGGGGGAGGAAGGCGGATGTGACTCGGAGCTTTGGACGCAAGAAGGGGTGTGGTTGCAGCTGGAGGCTTATTTGAAGACGTTTCAGAGGCCGAAGGACTGTTCAGAGGAAGATTTCTTGTGGATTCAAAATCAAACCACCAGTTTTTATGTGGAGCGAGGAAGGCTGAAGAGGAGGGGAGTTCCTTGTGGGAGGCTAGTGGTGTCACGCAAGAGGGGGCAGGAGGTCATAATGCAGAGGTTGCATGAGGAGATGGGACATAGAGGGGTGGAAGAAACTTATAGAAGGTGCTTGGTGAGGTTCTGGTGGCCAGAAAGGAAGGAGGATGTTAGGAGTTGGGTGAAATCTTGTGAAGCTTGTCAGAAGAGGAGTCCAAGAACTCAGAAGGAGAAGGGACATGCTACTGGTGAGAATACTTTATTTGGAAGAGTCAGCTTGGATGCGGTGCACATCAAGGAAGGACGGTACAAATATTTAATAGTGGCAAGGGATGATCTCTCTGGATGGGTGGAAGCCAAGGCATTGGTGAACTTGACTGCCAAAGCAGTGGCGGATTTTATTCTGAGGGAATGGGTTTGGAGGTATGGAGCGGTGAAGTGTTTTACAGTTGATGGAGGACCGGCATTCAAGGGGGAGTTGAGAGAAGCAGTGAAGATGGTAGGGTCGAAGCTAGGCGAGTCAACACCGTACTGGCCTCAAGGTGAAGGAATGGTGGAAAGGGGTCATCAAGAAATCAAGGGTCCTTTGGTGAAGATGTGTGGAGAAGATGCGGAAGAAGTGGGCGGAGAAGTACCTTT